TCACAAAAAGGAACAAAAACTGGCACAAGTGAAGTCATACTCAATAGGATGCCGAAATATTTTTGAGAGGGAGAGGCTTTTGTTTCCTTCAAAATCACTGGAGATTTACAAACACTAAAATCTTGTGTTTGGTAGGCAAAAAAAAAAAATCTATGGACTTACTATTTTTCTTTCGTGACAGAAAAATATGCTTTCTACTCATGGATTACATATAGCTTAGACTATGAAAGACTCTAATCAAAATTGCCCAGGTTAAATGGCATTCCTGCTATCTGAAGGCATACATCTGAAGGAATACATCATTTCTGAGCCTCAGCATTCAACTCTGAGGGGTGGAGGTAAAAATCACAGGACCCGGGTGGAGGTAAAAAATCACGTGCCCTCCATCAGTTGCTGGAGACCACATGGTCCTCACATTGCAGAGTGCGGCCCATTGAGGGTTGCATGGCAAATGCTTTATCATATAATGTGTTCTCCAATAGAGTTTTGCTCATTGTTCGTATTTAATGTGTTCATTCATTAAGATAAAGGCATTGAACTCACTGTACAGAAATTTGAGTTCAGCGACGAGACTGTGCAGAGAAGGGTGTCAAAGGCAAGTTCTGTCATCGGCAGAGTTTTCGTCCTGTACCGTTTACACGTGACCAGCACTGAGTGTCACCCTTTTGAAAGAAGCAGGAGATCGAGGTAACACTTGGGTCAGATGGAAAGAGCAGTGTTAAGCCCTTTCTGCTTGCTTGCGCATCCATTCTTTTTCACCCATCTCACACAGAGCTTCCAGAACAGTTGCCAACAGGCCAGGACAGCCTTGCCAACCACCTGCAGAAAGGGCACCTTCGCAAGTCCTTTAGGGCGGACCCACTCCCTCTTCTTCTGTGCTGTCCTCTCTGGCCACTCCCGTGACATTTCTTGCCACTCACTCATCTTTGCTGAACAAACACTGATGTGTTGGTCCTTTGTCCCCTGCCCCTCACCACATAAACACACCAAAGTTTGGAGTTTGTTTCAGCTATATTTTGGACTAGTTTTCCTCATTCACAGTTAAGACTCTGGGATGGTCTCCTTTAAGGACACATGCTAGGCACACATGATATCCCACTAATTGGCCCCTTCTGGATTTTCCCATCACAACTATACTCAGTCTTATTCTACACTGGCATTAAAACTGAAATTGGAGCGGTTTTTTTTTTTTTCAAAGCTTGAGAATGGTGGCTCATGATGGAAATCCCAGCACCTTGGAGGCAAAGGCAGAGGCAGAGCAGAGAAACTGCTGTATGTTCAGAGCTGTCCTGGGCTACGCAGTGACTTCCAGGTCAACTGACACTGCAGTGGGAGACTTCTTTTTTTAACTTTCCTCAATGAAAGCGATGCATTTTGAACACAGGTATGGTGCCTCCATTACATGCTAATCCCAGCATGGGGCATGCTTACCAGTTCAGCACAGTTTCTTTCTGCCTATGACAAAACACATAGTTTCTTCCAGCTCTTTCTGAGGTCCCATGTTGATTATCTGATAGATAACTCTAAAGTTAACTTTTAAGGAGTCAGAAATATACAAATACTTCATATATATTACCTTAGTTACTTGTCAAATAGGAAGAGCAAATACTATACTGCCCCCTCTGCCTGCATTAAGTAGGCAGCTGTTTAAAGTTCAGGACCTCCCAGGATGCAGAGCTGATTTCCATTCAGGTTTTTATGATAAAAGAAAATATAACTGTGCGCACGCACATAAAAACACACACACACACGCACACACACACACAACTAAAAAATCAGGTGTCTAATGACTTAAGATTCAAAAAGTTACACTTTCCTGGGTTTAATCTGGGTTGTGAAATCTCTGAAATCCTGGGCTGGCAGTTGTAAGGTCCAGTCACCAGTAAGATCCAGGAGAGAACGTGGATGCCGAGTTTTCTCCAACTCACACCCTGAAATGCTTAGACAGCATTTTGCAATCCTTGACATCCTTTTAGCTAAATAAAACAAGTCCCAAGTAAAACTGTGACCCACACATCCAACTTTCTACGTGACATGTGCACGGGGGTCCTGGCAGAACGCCAACACATGTACAAACCAAGGTCTTAGTATTAATCCACACTCCCTACACCTACACACGCGCTTCTGGAACCTGCTCCATCTCCGCCACTGAAACTCTGTTCTTTTGGTAATCCTTTTCTGACCATCACCATCTAGCTCATGAGAAAATCACATTGGCATTCAGACTTGTACACACACACACACACACACACACACACCCCGTTCTTCATCACCTTCAATTAAGTATAATGCTTCCACAGTTAACTTTAACTTAGATGACTGTAATAACTCTCGAATTACAGTCTTACTTCTACCTTTGATCCTCAAATTTTATTTCTAATACATGAGCTACAAACTAAGCCAGAATGTGTCACTTCGGCTCCCGCACTCAATGGCTTGTCTTATAAGGCCTTCCTGATCTACCTATCCTTCTACTCCAGCCCCTTGTAAAACTCCCAATCTTGTCAGATGGCCAAGCTTTCCTCCTGCATTCTGCTTTCCACTGTGCACAGCAGGGACACTCCAGGTCCCCAGCCATTGAACTCACCTTTCTTTGGTCAGAATACCCTTCCCAGCACCCACAGGGCTATCTGGCTTACCATATCAGAAAAGATTCAAAAGTCACTTCCTGACTAGAGCCTTCCTTAATCACCCCATTGAAAGTATTTTTTCTTTTTTAAAGAAATAATTTTCTGTCCTCTCTATTTGAGAGGAGGTTAGAGATTTCAGGGCCTACATAATCTCCAGGGACTGAACCGGTGGTGGTACACAAGAGCCACATAGTGAAGAAATGTGAAATTAGTTACTAAGGAATGCCACTACCCTCTATTAACACTTCTAGCTCTCCTGAGACAAAATCTACTTTGTAGTCTCAACGTATTGGTGAAATTTCAACGAGCAGAGCAGGCGACTTCCAACTCTATGCTGAGACTGGTTTCAAACACAGGACACCAGACACAGAGCATGAAAATTCTGTTATCTGTGAGCTCACACACACCATAACCTCTCCCCTAGATCTCCCGTGGGCCATGCATGGGTCTCCATTTTCTAAATGGAGCACAAAATCTTATTCAAGTCCAATGTTCACACACGCTGACAGGATAATTTTGAACTCAAAACCACCAGTATCAATTTGCATGGAGACGTCTCTAAATGAATATTTTAACACGTACGTGAAACAAACGAATTCAAACATTTAAAATGTTCGTTGCGACTCTAAAATTAAGACTATATTTTTTTTTCTCACTAGGTAACAAAAATGAGATATGGCCAGAAAATGGGGAACAGATGGGAGGAAATGCACTGGTCAACTGGAGCTCTCTTTCTGGCCAGAGAAATAGAGAAGTATCCTCACCTCTAACCAGTAGACACTTGAGTGCACACCCACACCAGAACCACCACCACTACCACCACCACTACCACCACCACCACCAGCAGCAGCAGCAAAACCTTTGAAAACTCTTTGCAGACATCAAAGTATCAATCATTTTCAAAATTCAATCACTTTTCTAGAATCAACAATACAAGGGACAGCTGAGTTCTTGGTTATTGTGTTTCCTTTCCCTAAACCCTTCCCCAAGACCCCACATATTCAGCTACCTGGTCAGACTCTCTGCTTCACTGTGGTGGTCACAATGTAACAGGCACATGTCTGTCACACATTAGCAGGTACAGGAAGAGCTGGGAACCATCCCCCCCAAAAGAAACAAGCAAACAACAACAAAACTACTCTTACTTTCTTTCATCAAGTAAACTGAGAAATGAAACCTAGACTCCTTGAATCTTTTCCACAGTACCTGGTGGCAGAGGGGGTGGGGAGATGAGGTCTCAGGACTTTAGTCTCCTATGACCTCCCACTTCTCTGCCTCTTGGTCTGACCTCCTAAATTTAAAGTTTGGTGCCTGTTTCTCAGGCTGCTCTGCAAACTAGTGACGACATGAGAGTGATCTGGGCATTAACGATGGTCTTACCTCCAAAATGTCACTCTCCAAGCAATGCAGACAGAATGATTATTTTCAGTTCTGCAAATACACCCCACACAGTTCCGTGGGCAGCATACCCCAGCCTGCATCCGGCTAAGCTAGGCTTGTCCACACTGGCAATTACTGTGTTTGAATTCAAGATGCCCTGGGCCACCTGCCTTGTGGCTGCAACAAGTTCCCTCTTTTCATCCTATTTATCCTTACAGTCATCTGTGTGTGTCAGGAAAAGAAACACACAAGCAAAGCATCTGTTACTAGAGCCGCAAAATTACCGAATCCTTCTATAAGGGAAGAACTAGGCAATAAATCCAGATGACTTGTCAGGTGTTTAAGGAGAGAGCGCTCCTCTTTCAATCACAGCGCCTTGTTTAAGCTGAGCATATGCTGAGAACAGCGGAGTCATCCGCTCAGCTCAGTCTGTGATGGGGACAGGCACCTCAGAAATCTCACTTCTTCTGCATTGGCAGAGGAAAGCCCCCCCCCCCCCCCAGTGCACTCCCTATCCCCACCCTATGCACGTCTATAATGAAACAGGTAACACGTTAAAGACAGTTTCCTATTGGTTACTTTACTCTGCGGCCTGTAAGCTCAGAATCTGGTTTTGGGGGGAAAAAAAATCTAACTTTCTCTGGTAACTAACTCTGAGCTTATCCGCTGGGATAGCTACTGGATGTCTTTCTGGATGCAAGCAACGGGTCTATGTGGTCCTACTAAATTAACCTTGTTGCTTTGTTTAAGTCTTCAGACTCCGGGGAGGAAAGAGGGAAGATAGGTGGGTGTTAGAGGCTGAGAGACCACACTGTAGGCACACCTAAAGAAGAATGCTGAAAGTCTGTTTAGAGGAGCCCTGACAACTCCCACAGCCCCAGAATCTGAAAATTGACCCCAAGTCATGCCCAGACCTGCTGCTTGGATCCAGTCCCCCATGTTTCCCGCCGTGCATCCAGGTGAGCTGCGCCAGAGCGCCAGTCCCCTTACCTGCCAGGCTGCCCGGCCTCTGGAGGGTGGCCGTGGCATACAGTTCCTGCGAATGCTTGCTGTACTGCTCGGACGCGTGGACCAGGCGCTTGGTGGGCGACAGGGTGGCGTAGGTGCCGATGGTGGAGCTCAGCTGGTGGATGGGCGAAGAGGAGATGGTGGACTGCACGGTGGGGGGCGAGGTCACGCGGATAGGGGACAGGCCGGCCGAGGACACGACGATGTTGATGGGCGAGCTGGTGCTGTAGGACTTGGCCAGGCGGCTGGGCGACTGCTTGGGTGAGGAGCCTCGCGGAGCGGCGTAGGCGGCACCCTCAGGGGCCGAGCCTCCGCGCTGCAGCTTGGTGGGCGAGCCGCCCTGCGTGGCGGTCAGCGGGGAGCCCCCGCGCCGCCGCGCGGG